CGACGTAAAAGTAGCGATAGCAGCAACGTTTAGGGTAGTAAATATGAAATAAAAACCGGTTAAAATACAGCAAAACAGTAAGCAAGAAAAAAAAATGAAAAAAAAAAATGAAAGAAGATGATAATTATGGTTTGGAAAAAATGACAGTAATGGCAAGGCAAAAAAAATTAGCAAAGCAAAAGTATCTCTTAGCTTATTCAGATTTGGCAAAAATATTTAAAAATTTTCTATTGCTTTATTTGACTGCCTTTATTGCCTTTTTGTTTCTGCACATTTTTTTTTTGTCATTTCCATTTTCTTTTCGCATGTGAATCTTAAAGATTATCGTGAGAAAAGCGTGTTTTTTTTTTTTTGACAATTTAGGTTAATGGGATTGTTTGTTTGATGGGTACAACAGTTTCTGCAGTATAACAGTGTAGAATAAACAGTAACAGTAGGAGCAATAGTACCAACAATAATAATAGCAATAATACACCAACAACAACAGCAACAGCAATAAGGAGAAAAAAAAAGTTTAATTATGCAAAACTTTACAAAAAAAAATTGAGAAAAAAATGAACTTTTTTTTCTATCTTTAAATCTTTTTTAGTTGTATCCTTGAAGAACTGTTTGTTTGATATGTTTAAAATTCGTCGGCGACAATACAACTTTATGGCAACAAACACCAAAAGCATTAAATCTAAATCTTATTTAAATGTTTCTCAAATGACCTCTCCTATTAAAACGTACAGTTCAACAAGAAGTTCAGAAGGCTTTATTGGTGTGTGTGTGTGTGTGTACGTCTTTGTGGACCTTGTGTAATTGTTGACGAAAACCAACAGGATACTTATGGTTAAATACCAAGCTTACTGGAATTGATAACTTTTAAATGCTGTTGCAAAGACCAATGAGTATATTCAGTTAGCTTCCGTTAAAGAAGGAAGAAAAATCAAAAAGAAGACGAATACTGTTATAAAATTGAACAATTTTGGACGAAACTAAGCGTAAAAGTGCACAGCTGAATCTAATTGTATAAAATTGTGTTAAGTCAATCAACAATGACAGTCACCCAGTTTAGGCAGTAATATATATTCCTGTTGATTGCAGTGTTAAACATTGGGAAGTCTTCGAGTAAATCAAAGATTAACAAACTAATTGAAATTTCTTTGAATAAATGGATGATACAGAATGGTTAAGTGTTATCTGAAGGTGTAGCTAAAAAGTATTTTTCTTTAAAAAGCGATTACTATCAACTGCTTTCAGTCTCTCCTTCTCCTATTGTCTTCAATGATTCTGTAGAAGAAAATCAAAGATGACAAATGAAGTAGTTAGATAATAATAATAAAGTAAAAAATTATTGTCTAGGAAAAAAATTGTTAGCACAAAATAGTTGATTGAAAAGAAAAGAAGAAAAGAATTTGAAGAAAAATGATGATTAGTAGAAAATAAGTTTCTTGTTTCGTTTCTTTCCCCCCTCCCACCCCCCTCAAAGTGACCTAAAAACCGCAAAGGTGAATATGCGTCAAAAAAATTTTTTTTGAACTTTAATGAGCACGTATTATTAATATTTTTTTTTTCAGAAAAACTTGGTTATTTTTTTTCCCAAATTTTGTTTTTTTTTTTATCGTCTTTTTTAACGTCTTTATCGTCATCATTTTTTTCTCCTTAATTTCTTTTGTTGATTTATTCTTCCTCTCTAATCCTCAA